ACATCTGGAGGGTATCCGTCGGCACGCTCTCACTCTCCATCATGGGGGTGTCTGCCATCCGAGTTGCGGGCTGCATCGCCGCCCTGTACAGCCAGCGTCGTCTGGTCGGAGATAGGAACAGACTGCCCATCATGCAGTTCAGCACACAGCAGAGACCGATCCTGGAAGCCCTGGCGCACGGGGAAGTCTTGCATGCATATGCCAAGTGGAGCGTTGGCGAGTTCACCAACCACAATCACAACGCAGACGTCCGCCGAGGGATCGCCACCGTCTTCAAAGTCTTGGTTGTGCGATCGTCTCGTCTACTTCACGAGCTGGCGGAGCGATGTGGCTGGCAGGGCCTGTACGCGCACAATCAGATCACCGAACTCGCATCAACCTTCCAGGGGAACTCCGTGGCCGAGGGCGACACTCTCGTTATAAGTATTCGTAGGTCTTCTTCATACACGAGCTTATTTATGGGTCCTGACACCTCATAGGTCTCGCTTCAGAACTCCTCATGAGCAGATATGGCCTTCCACAACCGACTGATCCGACAGGATCTCTTGCCATGTATGAAGCCGGGATGATCGAAGAGGTTGCGAGAGACAAAAACCTTGCACTCGGCGACTCCGGCAGCTTGAGGGGCACGACTTATAACAACAGCGTTCTCCCTCGATGCAGAGCAATGGTGGAGGCCATTGGACAGCGCATGGCTTACGAGGCAGCCCGGGCGCAAGGCAACATCGCGCCCGAGGTGCTCAACGCTTTTGAAAAGTCTTGCATTCAGAAGGATCCATCCTGGTTTGTCGAACATTGCCACGGCACTCGATCTGCGTTGCGGGACGACGAGAACAGGGCATACTCCAACTTGTTGCCCCTCTTGCCCACGCTGATGGAAAGGGCCAATGCTAAAGACTACATCACGGCGCCGTTGGTTGAAAAGGGAGACATGGAGGACTTCATCAAGACCCTGCCGGCTTTTGGGGCTCGTACGGACGACGTGGTAGCAGAGCGGGCCCCAAAGTCCAGACTTTGATGTAGAAACAATCCAAGTACTTTAGTTTCATCACTTGCATCTGTCTTCTCGCCATGTCCCAAGGTTGCACATCGCCGCGGAGATGAGCGCGAGGGCAGGACGGTTTGTATGGTTAGTTTTGATGGTATGAGTCTAGCGTCCTACTTGCGGGGCCGTGACATGACGCCCCGCGACGGATATTTCTATAGCATAGAATTCACTCGCAGTGCTAGCTCAAAGATATCGGCGAAAGAACCATATTTGGAGACGTACGTATTCGGGGTTTCCTATCTACTCAGCTTATGTGGAGACGGGGAAAAGTCCGAATACAAGGTGAGAAAGATGGCGCTGATCAAATGCTGGTAGATGAACACTCGCCCACATCCTAGTCCTTCGGACCTGGGGCTTGGAATGCAGACTCGCTGTACGGTCCCTTCTCCATTCCTACGAGCCCGTTCTCGGCTACGTATTCCCTGGCGTCGATCGGAAAGCGCCGTAGCAGGTTCCGGAACTGCTGTTGTTGGTTCTGCGATATGGGGAAGCGGTCGTCTCTCGCTTTGTAAGTCTCAGCTAGAGCGATGACCAGGTCCTCCTCTTTCTCTGATGGGAAGGGCTTCATGGCGCGCCGCTATTCGCTCTCCGCACGAGGCACGAGGTATTCAAAAATGTCAGCGATGCAGCCGTTTCCTTCGTACGGGTCTTGGCTGATGTCCAGGGTAGCCTTGGTCAGCTTGCCGTACTTTTCCGACTTGAGAAAGCCAAATTGCGTAATAGGTACATCAAAGATGCGCCGCTCATCAAATAGCCCGCCATACGACGCAGTAAGCTCGATGTTGTCTTTTTCGTTTCTGCTTGAAATGTCGATGGTGATCGCATAGGGCAGGGCTATGTCAGTCCTCAAGGCGGGTTTGAAGTCGAGTCTGCAGTTCCGCGTCCCGCCTATCGGCGGCAGGACGTCGAGTAGCTCGTTCCAGAGCCACTACAGCAGCGGTGCCGAAGTCGAGTCGTGGATTGGTTTGGAACAGAACCTTGTGATTACGCAGGAGAACTCGTCTGCGTACATTAGGCACGGTGAACTTGGCCATAGATAATGCAGACAAGAGTGTGCAAAAGACTGCAGGCTGCCGACACCTATGTATATAGTCTCCGGACATGGCCTGTACATGCGGCCGCTGCGAAGCCTGGCTCTCAGAGCGCTCTCTGAACTTGAGAAATACAAGCCAGGAACCCAGTCCATTTAGCAGTGGATTCAGTCCCCTGGTCAAGGCAGAGCAAGTTCAGCGTAGAGACCCTGCACGCCCTCACAAACGCCAGCACACAGCGCCTTGTTATCCGGCGGCTCATGATACTCACACTCAGTCACTTCACCTTTGCAAGCTTATGGAAGTGGACTCGTCAGCTAACTCTCACAGCCCCTGAGGCGCATTCGGCTGGTTAAGCCGTGAGGCAGACTGTTCGTATTAGGCTTAGCAGGCAAGTTCACTGCCAAAATATCCGCCATTGCTCCCTCGCTCCGTCACGCGATTCCATCCTACAATATCCATTCTCTGCTTCCTCCCCCATTGAGCAAATCATATCTGCTTACTCTTTGGCTTCAGCGGAAGGTCTCAACACATTCTGCGTACAATGTCGCAACTACCCAATCTAACTGTCGGATACATCTGTACGGATGCCAAAGGCGCTTGTCTGCTGTACCATCTCGTCGGCCAGGTCAGGTGCAAAGCACCTTGACATGACGCCGCCGAGCTTGCCTTCCAGTTCGTGAAGTCTGCCCGGCCCAAACAAAAAGGCTTGAAGACATAAGTTACATATAAACGTCTAAGCGGGCTTTGAGAGAACCTCCGGATCGCCAGGAGAATGCCCTGCAGATCGTTGCAACATGTATGCTTTTGTTGTATTGAGACATGATTCCAAAACTCCGAGCCGGGATATGGGGAGGAATTCATGTATATTACTTAGACTGCCGCAGTTTCCTCTATATACAGACCGAAAGCCTCGTGCAATTAAGCCGTCCTACTCCGGAAAGCGGATGGCTACCTTGGTTTCCTTCTTTTCATTGAAGCGTTTGTAATACTCTGGTGCGTCCTCGATGCCAATAACTGCGCTGATCACAAAGCTTGGGTGG